GTGTACTTCCATCATCAATTAATTCAGCTACTCGTTTTCCAATTGTTCTTTCGACATCAGAAATTTCTTTTGAATAATCTAATTCAATCAGTGGTTCATCATATTCAACATAAGCATCAATTTTATTCATATGTACAAATGTATCACCATGTACTCGTGGCATATTTCGATTTATTTGAGCAAAAATTTTTTTTGCATTACGTACAGCTACTCTTGTTACTTCGACCGCAATACCAAGTGAACAATAACCATGTTTATCAGGTGGTGATACTTGTATGAGAACAGCATCAAGTGGAAGAATATTTTCATCGAAAAGACGAGGCATTTCATTGAGAAATGTTGGAATGTATGATGCTGTACCATTAGCAACACATGGTCGAACAAAAGCTGATGCAAAAAGGCTATTGACAAAAAAGTTATCTTTTAATTTCGGATTTGTGAATGTATTATCAAGAGGAAGAACGCCCATTATTTCAACTCGTCGAAGTTCATTAGCACGTTTAGCCAGTAGACGATTGAGATATCGAGGTGTACCACCGCAACCTAATAATAACATAAAAGAACTGAAGAATATGAATTGTATCCATTTTGAATATCGTCATTAAGTAGTTTCTATTTCGTTTTCATTGTCTAGAAATATATGATGCCTTTTCGTTGATATTAGACACCCAGAATAATTTTCAATCATAATAAATATTAACTTCTTAGTATTCATTTTGCTTAGGAAACTGTTTTTCTTAATCTAACGACAGCGGCCAGTTACTCACTAGGCATACTTTTACAAGAGTTTTAAATAGCATAACGAAATGCAATCATAAAATTAATTGATTTCTTGTAAGAGGTTAGTCATCATCAACACATAAATAGATGCCGCACAGACTAACAAAATAACCTCACAAAAAGTAATTAAAATGTGCCACACAAATGCTATGGAAACCTGAATACTCTAGAAAATATTATTTCATGGGCGATTGTGGTGTAGCTTCGGCTGAATAGAAGGTTCACATAGACACATCCTGCTTGAGCAAGTTATTCCAGGGAGTCATTGTCCTAGATCCGTTACTAATATTACTTCTCGATGTGCCAATGAAAGCCACTACAATAATCAAATATTCAAAAGTTTCATATAAATAAATAGATAATTTAAACTATGATTGTGTTTCTGAACACATTCAGAGTCAATATTTATTATTCAGAAGAAATAAGGTCGAGGGGCACAATCTCTCAAAGTAAAATATCAAATATCGAAAGTTTGTAAAAACAACTAATAATAGTAAATTACTTCTTAAAGTCATTTTTTAAAAATTGAAACCGTTCGAACGAATGCTGGTGACTGATGCGTCTTCCTTTTGCATTTTTTTTCTATCTCATTTGTCGTCCTTCTATTCAGCCTTCTGTGTATATGAAGTAAGAATTTAGGTGAGTTTATTTGTGATCCATCAGTTCACCAACACCTAATATTTCGTGTCACTTGTCTTTTGTATCAATTTTTATCTTCAGGTTAAGCGGTAAAATCCCTTATCAAAGTCAAGGATGAATATGTTATACTCTCAATTTCGAATTTTTTATCATGCTTCAACAAACTTATGAATAATAAATCACATATCCTATAAACTATTCAAGTTGCTTTTATATTTTATACTTTCAAGATTTTACTCTTCGATTTTTTCTTTTCGAAAAATTAACACTAATTACAAATTTATATCTTATACATTGTGATAAACAACAAATCATAAGTTTCAAATGCATATCTTATGTGCTATTCAGAATACTAATTACTTTATCACTAAAATTCGCTAACGGGACAAATTGACATAAATATTAATTATGCTTCGAGCTTAAATTCTTCTTCTTATACTCATTATGTATTGGAATATCTACAGAAAAAAGTGTTTAGTTCATTTACTCTACTTACCATGAACAAAAACTCGTGAACCTGATTTAATTAATGATAAGCCTTTATCAATAAGCGTAGTTGCCATATCTTTGATTGCTTTTTTTTTTACCTTGAATAATAAAACAATATTTTTCTCTCTTATAAATACATAGATCTGAACAATAAATAGCTGACCTACTTTATTCTATTGATAAGTATAAAGACGAAAAAAATTGTCAATACGAAGTGTGCATGTAGCCACGTGTATCTCACTTAATAGAAGACGTTAGATTTTTGACTCTACAATTTTTTCTTTCCATCCGTTATATTCTTTTTTCTCTTATTTCTTGTTTTTTTTTGTTATTCATCGAATACACGATGTACACCTTTTATTTGATACTTGTCGAAGGCAAAGATATATTCGCCATTCGTTTTCAAGGATAAATGTTCGTGACAGAGAGTAAATTTGAAAGTAATATATAAATTTTGATAACAATTAAAGTTGTTTTTCTTAAAAAGAAATCAACGCTAGATTTATATGAATAAAACAATCGTTTGTTGTCATATGTTACTACGTAATGATTGCATTCTAAAGCAGTTTGCATGTTTTATTCTAATCAAATTACAATCCTAGAATAGAATATCAATATGATGTTGTCAATGCTTTTTACAATAGCCTATCACTGGTTGAGTTGTTAATCTTGATGTATGAAGTTTTATAACTTTTTTTTTTGCAAAACAATAGGCTAACAATATTAGGAGAAAGAGAACTACGGAGTGTCATAAAAGATTTACTTCTGAAGAAAATTTTAATGATTGAGTCAAAAAATAGCAATGAGTGCCAAAGTTAAGTGGTTATTTTATTTGATGCATCCCAAAACTTTTGCACATAATTTGATGGAGGAAAAAAACTTATCAAAAGAGTATATCCGAGTGTATGGTAGTACTTCAAGTAACCATCTAGAATCAGAATTTCATACTGTTTTTAACTATATATTCAGAATTTTTATTCTGACTTAAAGTGAGTTCATTGACAGCAAATCTTTGATGATGGTCAAAACCGACGCTTGTAAAAACACCATTTCATCAACATAGACTTTCTTTTGTTATTCAATTACTTCTCTAAATGAGACCTAAAGACTGTTTTGACTTTCTGATGTTGCACAAAATTTAAATCTCTAATACATCAAACATTACAGTAAGCTAGAAGTCAAAAACAATCGAAGTCTATATACACTTTTCGAATGATTACTCCTTACATGGGATAGCATTTTCAAAACAAAAATCCAATAAATTCTGATCATTTGTAGCAATATGTAAACAGAGATATAAACTAATTATTTTGTAGAATAAACCTCGTTCTAAATACAAGTTGATGTTTAAAAAAGGCTTCTTATAATTTGGATTGAACCTATTTCTTCAAATTACAAAGCTGAACTATATGAAAATTTATGTTTAGATGCCATTTTTGGCTTCTATCAATGGTTCGGTCTCAATAAGCTAACTTTAATCCCTAATAAAAGCTCTGAATATATAAAGTTAGAAAGAGTATGAAAACTTGATTCTCGCTGATTATTTTTGATTTTCTCTTTTCAACAGCTAGGAAATGCAAATATGATTTTGTTCAGATTACATAGAACGATAAAGAAACCAATTTTCTACAAAACGAAATGCCTCTGAGCTTTCTACAATGTTTCTGTGACTGAGATAAATCTCGAGCCTTCTATCCCCTTTTAGTCTACAAATCTTGTAGAAAGAATCTTCTCATGTGAACTCCTATCCGCAAAGAACGGAATATCGTGATTGCATGTTAGGTAGTTCACTATGATTATGTTCCAAATACAAAAGTAGCAATATAAAAACAAAAAGAGCTACAGTTGATGTTCACTCTTTCATAAACTCAGCTTTTTCATTCAGTTGTTATTGATGACATTTAACAAATTTGAACTCTTATTTTTTTTTTCGACTATCGCCTTATTCTTTTTCTTCATTATTATCGTCAATGGTGAAACTTTGAGGGAAAACTTGACTATAGCAGAGCATTCACTGGACAAAATTCAAAGGCAAAACTTTATAATTAGCCGAAGATATGGGTCATTTTTCGACAATCTCCATCAACTCTCATGTGAGGATTACCCAAAGAATACTTCATAAATCGGGCAAATTAAAACCATTTGACGGAGCATTTTTATTGACGATAAAGGTAGCACTAAACTGTCGAATGAAGAGTCTAATGACATAAGATTTATTCTCGTTATTGAGTTATCCTCATCTGAAGAAAAATCTATGCTGACTTTCTAGCTTTTCCTCATGACAATCAATCAAGTCGTGATTAGAATTCATCATACTCTGTTTGTAATCAAATTTTGAAACTAAAGTGTTAAACTTTAAGCATTTTATACCTCGAAAGCGGGTCTTTTTGCGACTACTATATGAGGAGTTTACAGCGATTATTTCGGAAATCTTAAAAATAGCTTTTTTGTTGAAAGAATATCAAGAATAAGTGCAGAAGTATAGAGCAAGATATTTGAACCTCTCTCCTCTCATAAACATTGTTGATATACGATCAATGACCGTATATCAATAATATCTCATTAAACTACTTCCTCATTGCATTTCTCGAGAATTAAGTAAAATGATTGTGAAGAAATGTGTTCCACACTAAATAGAATAAAGCAGTCTCTCTGTGATTAGCAACAGCAACTACATTGTGTTTTACATTTTAATTCCGAATGGATTGCATCAACAGCTTCTTTATTATTTTCTAGGCAAATCATTCTATGTAATCTGAACAAAATTATATTTACATGTTCTGGTTTCTAAAAAAAAAACTAGATTTTTAGTTTTCCAACGACTTGATCTTTGAGTATTTATGAATCATTTTTATTCTTATTGAAAATCATTCTACGAGTTTTACTATTTAGATTCTTATTAGCATTTAATATTGCAGGAAAAAAAGAAATTATAAATAAACCTTATTGAATAGTTTCAGTAGGTTGTTGCATGTTATCTATTGTTTTAAAACAATTGCTTGATCACAGTATCTATTTTATTTTATCAAAAAGGAAGTACGAGAGATACATATGCAGACAATACGTATAAAAATGATGAAAAAAAACATAATCTAATCTACACTTTCTTGTCCATGATAAGATGATGGTGATATACCATATTGTGTTGATAACAATGTATGATTCGGATCAGTAACTGCAGTAAAAAATGAATTTGACTGCATTGATGAATAATTTGTTATTGGTGGTGATTGATATGCTGATGTTCTTGCCATTTCATCATATAGATCTATAGACGAAAAAAAACCAAAAAAACAAAGTTATCGTTAAAATAAAATCTATTTATAATCATACTTGTCTGAAATTCGTATGTTGTTCGACTTGAATCAATTGTATGATAAGGATTAGTAGGGAGAAAATCATTATAAATTGTTCCCATCATTGCTATAAAATAAAAGAAAAAATGAATTTATTTATGATAGAATATTTTTTTTCTGTATATGTTTTCATTCTGAAATTTTAATAATTCATATCTTATCCTCACAAATAAGAAATAAAAGTATGTAAACGCTATAAACCTCATAATAAATAAATTTTATTTACCAGCACGATTCGATTGATCGATCATTGGCTGTACAATACGTCTTCGCGCATTAATAAACCTATTAATTAACAAAAAAAAAAGAAAGAAACAAAACTCACATATCAAGTAATAAGAAAAACAGCTGCATATTTTCGTCAAGTATATGTCTACTCGATGATTGAAACCTGTCAACACTATGTTTACAACAATAGACTACAAAAAAAGAAAAGAATGATTGATGAATTGAAGTATTATCTTCTAATGTGCGTCCGCGCATATCTCCTTGAAAGAAGAACAACAACAAGTCTAATGATCATCGTATAAGATCAAGCATAGTTGCATGATGAAAATAAAACGAAAAAAAAAAATATTCCCGTAGTGTTAACTGTTTTTAACACAGTTCATCTTTCGAACAATTGATCAGATGGAATATGATGAGTGTAAATTGATCAACTCAAATGATGATGACACTTCGAAAAGAAGAAAATTTCCTATGGAGAATATAATCATCGCAGAAAAATTACTATATTCGATTAAGAGTTTTTTATTTTATCATATAATAAATAATATAATCAAGTCTTTATTGATCTAAATAAATATGATTTCGAGAAAATAAGAACAAGACTCGATAATCCTCGATTACAAACTATTACTTCCAAATATTGGAATGATGTCTGCAAAGGTCATTAACGCGAATATCCTATTACCTTGTAAACATATTTCACTCGTTTTATTATACATGATCTAAAAGGAGTGTTGAAGTATAGGATAAAAATTTGAACATCCCTCCTTCCGGGATGTCAGGTAGTCAATATTTTCTCGATAATTTGTATTATAGAGAGAAGTAAAATAAATATAATGTATACCGGAGAAACGTTAATACGACTCTACAACTCATTATATAAATTGCTCTCTAGCCTCAAGATAAAACAAGAAAGGGAAAGACACATGAAAATTAGAAGGAATAAAATGACAATACAAGTAATGATACACCGTACCATCACCCTCTTCAGAGCGGAAGAACCTCACCCAACTTTGAAAAATTTTCATTTTATTGTTTTCTTGCTCATTAATTCTCAAAGAAATGTTGCCCTCCTCCCCTAAAATTTCGGTCAAATTTAGCAAAAATCTTCGAATCGAGCTAGAGAGCTGCATCAGCTTCAAAAATTTTCTCTAGACCCGACCAAAGAATTATGAGTCATTCTATTATATCTAATACTGCGGTCTCGAAAATTTCTGTATCTAATGTAGCTGTCTACATCATCCCCCATCCCCCCGCAATTCTGGCAAACTTCAGACTTCCCTGTCCCTCGTGTCACAGACCGTATATCAACAAAATCTCGTTCAACTGTTTTTTTTTATTGCATTTCGAAAAGCAGCTACATCGTGCTTCGTATTTCAACCCTACAGAAATCGCACCAGCAGTCTTATTTTTAACTTGCCTACAGTTTTCTGAAGTAACAAATATTTCATTATTTATGTAAGGAAAATCAGTCATTGAAAAAAAAAAACGAAAACTAATTTCATTCATCTTAAAGACAAAAATTAATATCCGAGACTATCACAATCTTACAACTTTGTTCCTATTTCGAATACAAAACTCAATCATAACGGTTTGTATATATTTAAATAAAACAAAAAAATCGAAAGAATATAATAAGCTTTCATAATGATTCTTTTGATGAATAGATGACAATTTAATTGTAGGTTTAATTTTCGATCTCCCATTATGACACGTTTTAAAAACGGATGTGCATATATGAAATGAAATTGAAAAAAAGAAAAGAAAAAATAAAAACGTATATGACAGTTGCTTATTGTCACGCGATGAACATACCAATTATTAACTTGTAATATATTAAGATTGGTTTCTCTAGCAAATATTTTTTTTTGTTCTTCGGATGGATATGGATGCTAAAATAATATTAATAATTTAAATAAATAATTTCATTTAAACTTACAGTTAAATGTTGAAATAACCATGCACGCATTAATAATGTTGCTGATTTCGGAAATATTCCTCGTTTTTTTTGACGACGTTGTGGTACATCATCATTTTCTTCATATGTATCACTATCAAAATTTTCATTTATTTCATCTGTTAATGATATATCAGGTGAAACATATTGTGTTTGAACAGGTAATAAACATATTGGTTTAATATCATCATTACTTATTAGACTTTCTTCTTCTGATTTTGAATCATTCATAATAATATCCCTTATTAAATAATGAAAAAAAAACACAAATCTTTTTGTTCGATTAGAATTTTTTTTTTTTTCTTACATTGGCATTTTTCCTTTTAATAGATTAATATATTTATGACAAAAATTATCGCATAATTCATGAACTTTTTCGATTTCAAGTAAATGAATTCGTAGAATTTGTATTGTTTGTATCATCTAGAAAAAAAAAAAAATCTTTGATTAATATTAATAATAAAATATTCTTTTTACTAAATTATCTATTTCAGGATTTGATATATAACATTGTAATTGTTCTTTATTTAACTAGAAGAAAAATAAAATATGAATTTATTTATTTTGATTAAATATTTTTATAATACTTGTTTTGAAAATTCAATAATATCTTCATTAGTCGATCCAAGAGAACTAAGAGAATTTGTTGCTAATTCACATTTTTCAAACATAATTATTAATAATGGAAAAAGTGGATGACTAAAATTTAAAACAAAAAAAAAACAATTTAAAGAGAATGTATATCTTTTTTCCTTATATTACTTATATATAAGATCTTTATTCATATTCAAAAAATAATTATTTGAATGATTTAACTAAGAGAAAAAATATATACATATTGTAAATAAACATCAAAATTTTAATTTATATATTCTTACATGATTGATACTCATCATGAGAATTTACCAGTGAGAGTAAATACAAATGTCAAATACACTGATCAATTATGGTACGAGTTCGAGAGAAGAGACTTAGTATCTCGTTTTTCTTTTTTTCTTCTCTTTTCTGTGTTTATTGTTACTCTGTCAATCAAAAATAAAAAAGAAAAAAGAAAGAAATGATAAACAGATATTGGTTGTTATTAACAGTTATACTCGTCAATGATTGGAAGATAAATTTTTTTATGTATATATATATATATATATTGACGAACACTTCTTTTCTCTTCCCGCTGTGTATCATCTTCTTTTTACATTGTTGAGATACACTTTTCTAACAATGAGAAAAGATGTATGTGTATCTTGCTGAGTAAATTTAATTAATCCAATGATTTGAAGTTGAACACTTTAAATTTTATTTATTTATTACTGATTAATTTTCACTCAAATAGAATATCAAAATTTATATAAGGTATTCACTCTACACATGATACGTTCATATTTTATATTTAACACTATATGTGTATGTATTGCGTAAATATTTTAAGTATCTTTGAAAGTAGATCATTTTGTCTTTATGTAAAACAATTCAACGGATATTGAAATATGTACATTATGTGAATTAACGGAAATGAATGTTGGATAATTGTTAAAAAAAAATTTTACTTGATTATATTTTGAATACATTTTTCTGTGTGCGTTATTTCATTTGTGAGTAGATATCATCCATTTGAGTTAATAAGCAACGGTTATGTGTTTTTTTTTTGCAAAAATGTTATATCTCAGAAAATAAGAATTCAGCATATCGTAAGGATCATACGATTGGTTGTTGGGGAAAATTTTAGTCAGAAATTCCAATAACAGAAATCCTTTTAGAGTTTATATTTACACGATGAGTTCTGTCGTCTATAAGTTCAAATGAAGGATATCAATTGAATAGACTCTCTCATCCAATCAGAATTAACTTTTGTCTTGGTAAAAAAAAAGTGGTTTTCAAACATTATAATTTAGACATTTGAGCATCGAACTGATTATATTTTGAATAAGCACAAGAGCATGAGTATGGCGTGTGAAAATGAAGGTGAAGGATATAGTTATGGACAAAAACAAGCTCTATACTCACACTCTTATCGTGGTATTTAGGGAATTAATGTTGTTGTACTATCGTATGAACTTCATCGAGTTTTTTTGGCTCTATTCAAAATTTGATATTCGTTTTTGAACATTTGAGAGCATGGGCGGCGCAAGGTCAGTTTTGTAGGGGTAGCAATAAACTGTTAAGTGACCTCTGTTTTTTCCCCATGCTCAGTCCGATGCAAAAATTCTTTTTCATGAGAACTGAACTTCTCGAATGTACTGTATGCAAAGCTCGAGTATTAACTCCTCCTAGTAGTGCATTAAACCCGCTTTAATTAGTATATGCATTTTTTATTGAGTACGTTTATTTCGTCAATTTTAGTCTTCAATCACTATTAGATGTTCACAAATGTCTATTATTAATAGGAAAAATACGTTCTTATTTGAGAACGATATACAATTATTTTGCTCATTTTCAAAAAAATTTTTCTTTTGTCTTTTTTCGATAGAAAAGCAGTTCCATTAGCATCAATATCAATTTCATAATCTCGTTCAAACGGATGTCCCATAATAAATAGCTAGTTTTTGTATTTCAGATTTTAATCTTCAAAAATTTTTATTAGAAAACCGAGTATACCACAAGGTGCAGTGTGAAAAGCTCTATAATTCACAAAGCAAGACTGATTTTGGTTATTTAGTTTTGATTTTGAAAAAGACAAAATTCTATATGACCACTTTGCGAAGGTATCAAAAAAACCATCCCTTTGCTCGCTTTATCTGTATATCTCTTAATATGTTTTCTTTAAAAAAGTATAATACATCAGAAGGTGCAGCGTGAAAAATCTACAATCGGCAAAGTAAAGCATATTTTGGTTGTATAATTTTTGTTTTAAAAAAAAAGCAAAATTCCGTGAGAATAATTTCCATTGTACATAAAAGATCATTTTTCTATTCCAATGAGTAAATAATTCTTTTTTTATTTCATTCTTTTATCACCTAATTGGTTGTATCGCATTTACCTCAAGATGCAGCGTAAAAAGTTCTACAGTGTACAAAGTAAAGCTTTTTTAATTGCATACTTTGTGTTTTGAAAAGAAACAAAATTCTGTGAGACCGTTTTGTGCAGGATCGAAAATTGATTACGCAGAATTCCATTTATTTTGAAAATACCAAGTATACAATTAAGATAAGTTTTCCTTTGTAACTGCAGAGATCTCTCCACTGCATCTAGTGCTATTTTCTGTGCTTTTTAAAAATGTATTTAAAGATTAAAATATGAAATAGAAAAATTGGCCATTTATTATGGGGCACCCGATATATCTGCGGGAAACAGATACATCAGGATAGCAATAAACAATTCCTAAGACTAAAATTTAATCTTCATACATAAAATACAGAATCACATCGAATATATGTATGTTGAATAAAGTAGTTTTACTCTAGAATATACAGGAAGCGTGAAAAATTAGAGGAAACAATAATTCTTATTGATTCCAATAATTTATTTTAGTGGTTGCAATTGCTAACTATTGCATTGCTGGTGCGCCGCCTATGTTTGAGAGCTGCTTTTACAGAAAATTTTCTTCATGTATCATTAGTATCTGGTGATTTCATATGTCCAAAATTACTCTTTTTTTTTGTCATAATGGTGACATTTTCATTGTTCTATTGTTTTTCTTCGGTTTGTTTCATTTAGTGTTCATTTCTTAGATAATCAGTCTAGTGCTCAAAGTCAATATCGTTCTTTTGTTTTGATTATATGTTAATCATGATCAAAAGTTGATTGTTCTTGGCAACTTATTGAATAATAGAGATATAGTCTTTTATGAAGATGCTTTCAGTTTTAATCAATATAGAATCTTAGGTTTCTTATTCAAAAAATTCAAAATCAAAAAGCTTTTATTTCGACATTACCTAGATGTACCGTATTCAACTACTCTACAAAAAATAACTATGGACTGATATGGAACTATTTTATAGTCGAAATAAACAAGCGCAAGTCTAGACTTAGATCAGCAGTAATATTAGTTCACTCGGTCGACTGTCAACTCTATTGAAAGTTCTTCTAAACACAAGATAGTTATAGAAAAATTTGACTTTTTCATTGCAAGAACTACTAAAGACTCGATACAAAATTCTTGCAGATAGGAAAGCTATTTGGTAATTTTGCAATAAATGCCGAAATTAAAAAGAAAAGTTTCATACACTAAATGTTTTCAAAAACCATGTAACGATCGCTCTACATTAGGCATGCACCGAATCCAAACTCGGAGTCGATGTTCGCGATCGGGTTAGGTAAATATCTAACTAGTTCAGACAGTGCCGAATATTTAATTCATTACCAAAGCATTTCTTGAGGAATATGAGCAATCATGGAAATAACGCAAGACTCATTTAAGTCCGAGTACTTCTGAGCATTATTGAATTTTTTTCCGAAAGCCTACAGACCTTCGACACTTGAGTCATTTGTTCCATTGTAGACCTACCATATCTAACTTTGAAATTCTTTCTTTTGACTTACTTCTGCTTCGTTTTGTTCATTAGCTGAAAATGACTACACGCAAGATCGAATTCTAACGTTCGGTCCATGCGTACTCCACATTGTTTTCTTACGGAGTAGAGTTATTTATTGTTAAATAATCAGGAGAAATATATTTAGTACTTTAGTCAATATTTTTATAATCTCCCTCGGACAAAAAAAACGGTCTTTTTCCATTTCATTTTTGCATCATTTAATAAGTTGTTTTAGAAAAACAAAATATACCAGGAGATGCAGCATGAAAAGAACTACAATGTGCAAAGTAAAGCTTATATTAATTTTGTACTTTTTGTTTTCAAAAGAAGCAAAATTGTGTGCGACCAATTTTCGACACTGGGAAAAAATTATTTTTTTCTATGCGAACGAGAAATTCCTTTTTCCTTATTTCATCTTTTTATCAACTAATATGTTCTTGTAAAAAAAAATAAAATATACCACAATATGCAACGTGAAAAGCTCTACAGTTTACACAGAACAGTTTATTGAAATAAGAAGAAAGGAATTTTTCATTGGTGTAGAAAAATGATCCTTTCGCAGCATCGAATATTGGTCGCACTGAATTTTGCTTTTTTTGAAAACAAAAGTATATAATTGAAATAAGATTTACTTTGTAAATTGTAGTTCTTTTTATGCTGCATCTCCTGGTATATTTTGTTTTTTTAAAACAACGTATTAAGTGATGCAAAAATGAAATGGAAAAAGGCCGTTTTTTTTGTCCGAGGGAGAATTAAATTCATTATCAAAACAATGTATTCTTATATGTTCATTTTAATGTCAGAAAAGTTTGTAGTGTTTGATTTTTAAAACTTTATCTCATCATGATTTATAGATATTAGGATTCTAATGAATGCATAAAAGTTTCGAGTTATTTTTTTACTTTTAATTAAATAACTGTTACCATAGAATTTCATTTAGTTATGGAAAAAAGTTTCAATAGAAAAACGCATTCATTTATTAATGCTCAACGTCAAAATCGTCGTCGTCGTTATTCAATAAGTTCTCCTAATGTATTTGAATCTCGTGCCGGTACTGTTGTTGGACAATTTGATAATATTATCAATCGATTATCTCGTACAAATATTTCTAAAACACATTCAATATCATCAAATTCTAATCTTCTTTTTTCATCAACAAACAATAATTTAGAAAAATATGATATTCTATCGAAATTAAATATCGGTGCATATGGTGCAACTTATTTAATACGAGATTCTAATGATGGACAAATGTATATATTAAAACGAATTGATTATTATTTACCAGATATATTTCGTAAACGTTTATTTGAAGA